ACGAGCCCTGCAGGCTCGCCCTGAACTGCAAGGAGAAAACACACTCAGCCTAAGCCCCTGCCCCTCTGGCCACGCGGGGCCCTTGTCACCGTCCAGGAAGCGTGCCCAGAAGGAGCGGCCAGGGCTTTCCTTCCTCATCTCCTGCCCAGGGCAGCCCCTTCCAGGCCACAGGCTCTGGGCCTTAGCCTGCAGGCTGAGGGCAAGCCCCGAGGACACAGTGAGGGGCCTGGGCTATTTGAAGAGCAGGGAGAATTTTGCATGCAGCATCGCAGAGGTAAGTGATTCTTAGGGGTTCTTTTCAGTATTGAGGAGCTCAAGACCTGTGTCCACTCTGATTTGGTAAATCAGGGTTCTTCGAAGTCACAATAAAAATGGAGGGCCGGGCACTTTGGGAGGCCAAGGTGGGCAGACCACTTGAGCATGCCTGTAGCCCTAGCTACACAGGAGGCTGAGGCAGGAGAATCGCTTGAACCCCGGAGGTGGAGGTTGCAGTGAGCCAAGATCGCGCCACTGCACTCCAGGCTGGGCGACAGAGGAAGACTGCGTTTCAAAAAAAAAAAAAAAAGAAAGAAAGAAAGGAAGAAAAATGCAGAGACGAGTCTCTGAAATTAAAACGTTTTATTTGGGTGGGGTGGGGTGGCTCACGCCTATAATCCCAGCAATTTGGGAGGCTGAGGTGGGCAGATCACTTGGGGTCGGGAGTTAGACACCAGACTGGTCAACATGGTGAAACCCCGTCTCTACCAAAAATACAAAAATTAGCCAGGCATGGTGGCGCGTGCCTGTCATCCCAGCTACTCAGGAGACTGAGGCAGGAGAATCACTTGAACCCGAGAGGTGGAGGTTGCAGTGAGCCGAGATCGTGCCACTGCACTCCAGCCTAGGTGACAGAGCGAGTCCCCATCTCAAAAAATAAATAAACAAACAAATAAATAAATAAATAAAATACGATGTTTTATTTGAGAAGACAGAACTGTAATTCAGGGCATCCACTCTGACTAGGTATGTGCAAGAACAAAATGGAGGTCGGAGGTTTTGTAGAGGAAAAAAGAGAGAGGGAGGGAGACAGGGGAAAAGTTACATATTGCTCTTTGAATTAATTTTTTTTGTTTGTTTTTGAGACACGATCTCACTCTGTTGCCCAGGATGGAATGCAGTGGCTCAATCATAGCTCACTGCAGCCTGGACTTCCCAGGCTCAAGTATCCCTACCACCTCAACCTCCCAAGTAGCTGGGACTACAGTCATGCACCACCGTGCCAGCTAATTTTCTTTCTTTCTTTTCTTTTCTTTTCTTTTTTTTTTTTGAGATGGAGTTTCACTCTCGTTGCCGAGGCTGGAGTGCAATGGCCCAATCTTGGCTCACCACAACCTCTGCCTCCTGGGTTCAAGTGATTCTCCTGCCTCAGCCTCCCAAGTAGCTGGAATTACAGGCACCCACCACCACGCCCAGCTAATTTTTGTATTTTTAGTAGAGACGGGGTTTCTCCATGTTGGTCAAGCTGGTCTTGAACTCCCGACCTCAGGTGATCCACCCACCTCAGCCTCCCAAAGCGCTGGGATTACAGGTGTGAGTCACCATGCCCGGCCCACGCTAGTTAATTTTCTTTGTTTTGTGTGTGTGTGTGTGTGTGTGTTTCTTTTTTTGTGATGGAGTTTGATCTTGTTGCCAGGCTGGAGTGCAATGGTAGGATCTCGGCTCACTGCAACCTCTGCCTCCTGGGTTCAGGCAATTCTCCTGCCTCACCCTCCTGAGTAGCTGGGATTACAGGCACGTGCCACCATGCCCGGCTAAATTTTTGTATTTTTTAGTAGAAATGGGGTGTCACCATGTTAGCCAGGCTGGTCTTGAACTCCTGACCTCAGATGATCCGCCCACCTCGGCCTCCCAAAGTGCTGGGATTACAGGCATGAACCACTGCGCTCGGCCTAATTTTATTTGTTTTTGTAGAGATGAGGTCTCGCTATGTTGCCCAGACTGGTCTTGAACTCCTGGCCTCAAGTGATCCTCCTGCCTCAGGCTCCCAAAGTGCTGGGATTACAGGTGTGAACCACCACACCCAGCCCATACTGCTCTTTGAGAAAGATCCTTGGTGCTAGTGAGGTTCCCAGGAAGGGAACCTGGGAAGCTCTGATTGACAGGTGATGGAGGTGGGTAAAATTAGCCCTACGGTTGCAGTGAGTTACCTCAGCAGCTGTACGGAAAACTGGTCTCAGAGTACAGCAGCAGTGCCAGCCTTGGGGCTTGCAGAGAATGACATTTTTGGAGCAGTGTTCTGTGTCAGTTTTTCCCCCCTGGCCTCTCGATGCTGCGTTAGTTGAGTATGACAAGAATGACCCAGTTCAGATGATCAACCTTCACAGTTCAAATCCCAGCGCCACCACGTGCCAGCTGGGTTAATGTCCTGGGACTGCCATGACAAAGTATCGCAGATTGGGCAGCTTCAACCACAGAACTGGATTCTCTCACTGTTTCGGAGGTCACAAGTCTGAGACTGAGGTGTCTGCCAGGGCCACCCACGCTCCCTCCAAGGACTCTGTGGGGATCCTTCCTGCCCTTTCCAGCCTCTGGTGGCTCCAGACGTTCCTCGCTTTGAGGCTGCATCGCTCCGGGCTGGGTCTCTGTAGTTACCCAGCTGTCTCCTCTCTGTGTCTCTGTCTTCTTCTCTGTCATCAGGTTTAGGGCCCATCCTAAATCCAATACGACCTCATCTCAAGGCCCTTAACTAATTACATCTGCACTCACCCTGTTTCTCTTTCTTTCCCCTCCCTCCCTCCCTCCCTCCCTCCCTTCCTTCCTTCTTTCCTTCCTTCCTTCCTTCCTTCCTTCCTTCCTTCCTTCCTTCCTTCCTTCTCTGTGAGATGGAGTCAGGCTCTGTCACCCAGGCTGGAGTGCAATGGCACAATTCCAGCTCACTGCAACCTCCACCTCCAGGTTCAAGCGATTCTCCTGCCTCAGCCTCTCGAATGTCTGGGATTACAGGTACACACCACCACGCCTGGCTGATTTTGTATTTTTAGTAAAGATGGGGGTTTCACCATGTTGGCCAGGCTGGTCTTGAACCCCTGACCTCAGGTGATCTGCCCGCCTCAGCCTCCCAAAGTTCTGGGATTACAGGTGTTTCTGGGATTACAGGTGTGAGCCATCACGCCCAGACCATCCCTTTTTTTTTTTTTTTTTTTAAATGAGATTGGGTCTCGCTCTAGCACCCAGGCTGGAATGCAATGGTGCAATCTCAGCTCATTGCAACCTCCACCTCCGGGATTCAAGCAATTCCCCGATCCACCTGCGCTGGCCTCCCAACGTGCCGGGATTATAGGCCTCAGCTGCTGTGCCCGGACCCTCCCACTTTTAAAAACCCTTACCCATAAGCCATTGGGAAGCCGTCAGGGAGTCTGGGTTTTAAGCATGAGCTGGCCGATTCTCCCTGCTTGGAGTCCTACGCGAAACGCCTCATTTTCTCTTCACTGCAGCCCTGATGTCAAAAATAGGCTTTGCTGTGCCTAATTCCCCTGCCTCAGCCTTCCTAATAGCTGGGATTACAGGCACGTGCCACCACGCCCAACTAATTTTTGTATTTTTAGTAGAGACGGGGGTCTCACTGTGTTGGCCAGGCTGGTC